GCAGCGCTTACTGCCGATGTGAGCATCGTGCACGCGGTCATTTGAGAGCGCATACGCTGTCAGGCACAGCGTTGCCCCCGCCTCACTCGCATCCTGTACGGCAGAAACGAGAGGGGAGGAGAGGAGTGGATAGTGAGGGGGAAGGGAGGGCGGAGGAGGGCGGAGGAGGGCGGAGGGGAGAGGAGAGAGGTGGGGTAGGGTGAGAGGGAAGGAGGGAGGAACGTGTGCGAGGAGAGAGTTGAGAGATGGGAGAGGGGGCATGCAGGCTAGGCGGAGTTGAGCATGGATGGTGCCAGGATGGAGAGGGTGGTAACCGGAGAGGAGGATGGGGCGAGTTGAGTGGCAGTAAACACTTGAGGCGTGGGACAATTTTTTAGTCGACTCAAAAGTAAACACTAGAGGCGTGGGACAAATTTTTAGTCGACTCAAAAGTAAACACTAGAGGCGTGGGACAATTTTTTAGTCGACTCGAAAGTAAACACTAGAGGCGTGGGACAATTTTTTAGTCGACTCAAAAGTAAACACTTGAGGCGTGGGACAATTTTTTAGTCGACTCAAAAGTAAACACTTGAGGCGTGGGACAAGTGGGGGAGTGGAGAGAAGTGCGGAAGGAGGAGAGCATGGAGGGGAGGAGAGCATGGAGGGGAGGAGAGCATGGAGGGGAGAAGAGAGTGGAGAGGGTGAGAAGGAGTGTGAGGGCAAAATGAGAGGAGCGGATGAGGAGGAAGAGCAATAGGTGAGGAGGAGGGTGGGAGTATGTGTGTGCTTGTGTTTGGATGGGTGGGCGTGCGTGCGTGCGGGCGAGCGGGCGGGGGGGCGGGCGTACATTCATCATGAGGTAGTTGTTGAAGGTGACCTCGTACGACCCCTCCGCGAAGTCCAGGAAGACGGGCGGAAACAACACCATGCTCGTGTCGCTGGAATACAGAATGCATGAGTGCGTGCGTGCGGGTGTGTGTGTGGGTGTGTGAGTGAATGAGTGAGCGAGAGAGAGAGCGAGAGGAGAGGAGATATGGAGGGATGGGAGGGGGGGAGCAACAGGAGAGTAAAGAAAGGAGATGGGCCAAGGGCGAATACCAAGAGGAGAGCAGGCACGAGTCACGACAAGCTGAGCAGGTACAAACGCCCTATGTATAGGGAATATGTCTTGGCACATATGACCGACATCAATGCCCTCTACTGCCCCTCGTCTCTCCCAACCCTACCCATCCCATCCTCTCCCGTGCTGATGTCATCGCATCATCCCATGTCATCCCATGTCATCCCATGTCATCCCGTGTCATCCCGTGTCATCCCGTGTCATCCCGTGTCATCCCGTGTCATCCCGTGTCATCCGTGTCATCCCGTGTCATCCCGTGTCATCCCGTGTCATCCCGTGTCATCCCGTGTCATCCCGTGTCATCCCGTGTCATCCCGTGTCATCCCGTGTCATCCCGTGTCACCCCATGTCACCCCATGTCACCCCATGTCACCCCATGTCACCCCATGTCACCCCATGTCACCCAATGTCACCCCATGTCACCCCATGTCACCCCATGTCACCCCCATGTCACCCCATGTCACCCCGTGTCACCCCATTTCCTCGTGGCATGGCACGGCATCTCACCTGGCCTTGACGAACACACACACTTCGCCCCCCGTGTCCTGCCGCACTAGCCGCGGGTCAGCAAACACCTGCTCACATGCACACAGCCACACAGCCACATAGCCACACACGCACGAAATGCGTATACACGCATAGTTAGCATGCGTAGGGGGGAAAAATGAGAGCTGTAAATGGAAACCTCGGGTTACTAGGAAAAGACAGGCCAGGGAGCCAAGTAGGTTGGGAAGAACAGCAGCTATTCATGCGCTGAGTGAGGCGGGGAGACACCCTCTCCTCCTCCACCCCCGCCTTCTCCCACCCATGCACCCACCCACCCACCCCCACCCACACAGGTTCTCCCACGCACCATCTTCACGACTCTGAGGAACACGTCGCTCCTGAGCGCCGTGTACGTGATGTCCGAGTCGATCACCACTCCTCCCTTGAACGCCGCCCCGCCGCTGCTGCCGCCCTGCCCCGCTCCGCTGTGCCGGCTCAGCGTCTTGCTCCCCGGCACCTCTGTTCCGCCCACGCGCATGCGCCACACTGGCAGGTAGTAGCTGGAGCTACGGGGGGTTGGGTGGGGGAGGAAGGGGATGGTGCGGGGGACGGGGAGTGACGGGGTTGGGCGGGGTTGGGTGGGGTTGGGTGGGGATGCCACGGCGCACCCTCACACGCCTCTCAAATCATTGCCCCTGCACGCCCTCCCTCCCCCCCGAACACACACTTACACTCGCTCTTCCACGTACGCATGCACACATAGACGTGTCACACACACGCACGCACGCACGCACGCACGCACGCACGCACACACACGTACGAGCACGCGCGCACACTCACTCGTCCGCTGCGGTCTCGAAGGCCGTGGTGACCATGTTAGCGGGCGGCGTCATGCTACCCAGCACCAGCACGCCCGAGTTCGCCACACTGTCGAAGCACAGCGACCACACCGCCGCCACCAACCCCCCCGCCGATGACGATGCCACGACGGTGGCGGGGGCAGCGGTGGCGTTGGCGGGGGGCGCGGAGAGTTGCGCGAGCAGCGAGTAGGGCTGCGTGCCCAGCCCCAGCGCGCCGTCCACCTCCGAGAATATGTCGCTGCCTCCCGCCTGCGCGCTGACCCGCGCGCACCTGGCGGCCGGGGGAGAAACAGCGGGGTGGTTGGGGCAGGGCGAACATGAGGAGAGAAGTCACAGGATTTGATTAGGGGCGAGGGAAGCAGCAGCAGAAGAGCCGTGACTGACTGAAAACGGTCAGCCGCAATACAGGGCGTTCCGCTGTGAGATAGCGAAAGGACGGAGAAGGGACAGCGAAGGGACAGCGAAGGGACAGCGAAGGGACAGCGAAGGGACAGCGACTACTACTCTGTGCCGAAGCAGCCGCGTCGTTCCAACGCCTCACCCGAAGGCGACGGCCAGCGAAGACGTGACTCTTTCTGCGTTGGCGACGGGCATCACGTCCGCTAGCATGTCCCCCCCGGTGTCCCCAGCGCCGGAACGCGCCACAGGACAGTTCAACGGGAGCACGGAGAGCTAGCAGACATTCCCAGCCGAACAGCCCAAGACCTTTCTCGGCTCGCCTCACCCGAAGGCGACGGTGGGAGAAGACGTGACGCGCTCCGCGTTGGTGAGGGGCATCACGTCCGCCAGCACGTCCCCCGCCGTGTCCGCCGTCGAGTATTCGCACGCGCCCGCGGACGAGTACGTCTGCGCCGCCCCCAGCGCCGTCGCAGCACCGCACGCCGCCATCGGGAACGCCGCACACGCGCTGCTGTTGCAGGCCAGCGCGGACGCGGTCGCGGAGGCGGACGAGTTGAAGAACGCGCGCGGCTTCGTGGGCTGGCGGAGGCGCGCGGAGAGGCGGCGGGGAGGGGATGGTTGGCGGAGAGGGATTAAAGGGGGAAGGATGGCGGGGGGGGGAAGGGCTTGGTGAGTGTGGGGATGGGAGATGGAGAGATGGGGAGATGGGGAGATGGGGAGATGGGAGGGCATGATGGTAAAGGCGTGCGAGGAGAGGGGAGGAGAAAGGGGAGGGAGGGGAGGAGGGAGGGGAGAAGGTGCACTTTCGTTAGTGACGGACGGCGAAGTTGCTAAGTAATTGCGGCCGCAGTAGTACACCCACGAGAGGCTCGGCGCACTAACTAGACTGTTGACACGTCTCAGCACTGGGCTATTCGCACTCACGTCGGTGACGGGCGGCGAGGTGGGGCACTGGACGCAGTCGCAGTAGACCCACGAGAGGCTCGAGACGGTGTCCAGTAGCACGTAGAACTCGCGCGCCGGCGTCCCCAGGGTCAATGTCGTGTAGAAGCGCCTGGCGGAGGGGGGGGAGGGGAGGGAATGGGGGAGATGGGAGGGGGAAAAAGTGGAGGAGAAGGGGGGGGGAGCGACGGGGTGAGGGATGGAGGGGGGGGAAGGAATCACGCGGTAAGGGGATTGCCGGGAGGGTAGGGAGAAGGGGAATGAGGGCGAATGAGGGCGAATTGGAGCGAGCGGGGGGTGGTGAGAGCTCACCCGTAGACGTAGGGCGACGAGAGCTTCATCACGGCCGTTCCTCCCGCTGCCGCCTCTGCCAGCAGTCGGCCCTGGGGGTTGCGACGAGAGGCGACGGGCACGGAAGGGGGATCGACGGAATCAGAGTAGGGAGGCGGGGAGCTGGGACACCAGGAGTATACGTGGTCACGGTAAGTACAGTGGATCAGGACGATTAGAGAGAAAACGAGGGTGCAGCATAGCGAATACTAGCGGGTTTTGAGCCTAATGACGGGCAACAGGAAGCAACGACCTCGTGTTGGATTAAAGCCCAGAGGTGAAAGTTTCTTCAGAGCCTGGCAGGGATTCTCCTCCTCTCCTGAGCGAATCCTACCTCATGCGACGACTCTCTGGGCGACGCAAACGACGACGACGTCGCAGCAGCAGCGGCTGCAGCCACAGCAGCAGCCACGCTGGCTCCTCCGCTCCCTCTCGCCATTCTCAACCGTTCCTGCTCGCTTAGCCGTCGCAGCCCCCTGCGCCCACTATCTAAGCGCGACGCGTCCTGCGGTAACGGAACACAGCAGAGAAGATAGTAGGAGGAGTTGATAGATCCGATCAGCGGGTACTGTAAATCGCGAATGAATCGGGACCGTGTATCTTATGATCGTGGACTAGCGGTCATTATGCGACCGCTCTTGACGGGATGGGCCGTCACGGAAATGAAGGTGGGTGGGGCGAGTTCGATGGAAACGCTAGCTGCAGTGGACTGTGGTGGCGAATTCCGGCGCTTGGATTATGGCAGCTTTTGAGTCGATTCGAAGGCAATTCCGGCGCTTGGAATATGGCAGGTTCTGCTCCACGAGTAAGTTAGGCGTGAAGGCACTTCACGTCACGAGTGGTGTACCCAGCAGTTGGTGGGTGGGGGGTGCGCGATCCGCCATGGCAGGTTCTGCTGCATCTGAAGCGAGGGAGTGTAAAGCTTGGTTGTGTTATGTCTTTTAAGATTCTAAAAAACACAACACAACCTAGCAGTTGGTGGGAGGCGCGCGATCCGCCATGGCAGGTTCTGCTGCATCTGAAGCTACAGCGGCACTGACGGGAACGAAGCCCGTCCGCTTCTCAACAGCACCGTTAGTTTGGAGAAGGACGCGGTGCACAACAGAGTGGCTCAACAGGGGCGGAACGAGCGCGAGCGGTCGGGCGGTTTGGGCGAGTGACGAACCTTTAGAGGCCTAGCATGCGCGTCAGCTGGAGCGATGACGCTGACGAGGCTGACGAGGCTGAGGAGGAGAGCAGTGGTAACCAGCAGGTTCAGAAGACGCGTTCCCATGGCGAGAGGTCTTCCACGAAATGGCGAAAGTTGGAGCTTGGTGTTTGCCATGGCCGATGGTCGACCCGCTATGGCAACGGCGGCTAATGGTTAGAAGAGAAGCCGAGAGAGTGTAGTGCTGCCTTTTTTTCCCGCGAGTTACCAGAATTTTGGCTCCTGGTAGGACCTATGCGTGTGTGGGGCGAGCGTGGCTGATCACGATTGCAACGCTACGGCACTGAGGGAGTGAATGATATGTTAGCTGCCAGGCTGCCTCTGAGGAGAGGTAGGAGAAGACTCACAGGTGTGAAATCTAGGTTGTTCTGCACATTCAGCTGGTAGTCTAATCGATGGCAACGCTATCCAATCCTGCTAACGAGTGAAAACGCTCGACTCTTAACTCTGAACAGCATTGGAGCTCGACCGACACGCGGATTCTGCTTGGCTAAAATGCTACTCGAGGAACGAGAAACGAATCGTGCCACAGAAGGCCGACTGCGGCTCACGAGAGGCTTCGACTTCCTTGCTGCCTCGCTGCCGCGTGAGGTCGAGTCAGGCGTGCTTCTAACGTTCGTACCTAGTTCAGTACGGCGCTATCGCTGATGAATTGATGAATTAGTTCCTCAGGGTTGGGCGGACGGTGAAGAAAGGTGACAGCGAAAGGCGCCATGAAAGGCACGAGAAATTCCTACTGTACCGACCAGCCTGAGGAACATTGGATTGGAGGTGCCGCTACGGTGACCTGGGAGGGGAATGAAATCTGGGCCCTGTTCGATGCCGTTGGCTGGCTGCGGGCCGCGATAAATTTTGCATTACGCGACGCGGGATGTGCATGGGCTGCCCTCGCCCTGGTCTGCTGGTCTGCTGGGCTGCCCTGCCCTCCCGGCAGGCTTTCTGTGATTTGGCAAAAAAAAGTCTGCCGCCTGCGTGCCGCGAGTGTTTTGGTGCTGGCCAGAGCGAAATTGTTTTGGGGAGGGGGGAAAGGGTGACCAGGCGGGCCAGGCGGGCAGACAACTAGCCCAGCCCGAAGACTGCCACAGGCATTCAGCCCAGTTCGGGCCTTGCAGCAGGGCACTTGGGCCTGCACCGAGCCATTTCGGTGTCAGGAAAGGTTCTTCCCGCTTGTTACTGTACCTCGCAACGCTCTTCAAATGCTTCGGTATAAGTAGCCAACAATCACGAGGTTTACTGGCTGCAAAAGTACCCAGAACAACAACTCTTCGACTCACCATATACGTAAAATAACTGCGGCATACTAAATCCCATTGTATACTAAAATAATGATTCGAAATAAATACTGCATCAGTGCATATCAGTACATATAATATTTAACTGGTCTTCTCCCAATACCCCATGTGCCCATCAGCCCCTGCCCTTACACAGCTGCAATTTCATTCCTGCAAGCCCTCCATGCCAAGCCATTCCCATCCCATTGTACCACATGCCCAACAGCACCCTGGAAAGGTAAAGAGACTGAGCAGGTCACATGAACCAAGCTACAGCCGCCTCTTGCAAGAGCACCTAAGCAGAGAAAGACGAGGGGAAGCTGGGAAGGTTGGCCAACAGTCAACCAATGAAGGATGGGGCAAACGGCTCAAAACGACCAGATTTACAGACCTGGCAGGGAGGGCCTGCCATGCCATGCTTTTCTAAATAGCATCACGGCTCGAGAGGGAATGCATAAAGCGGTTGTGGTGGGCGAAGCAGGGGCAGGCGGCGGACAGGGTACGCAACGCTGGTTGCTTGCCAGAGACATGGGGCAACACCACAGGGTTGGTTCACAGTTGGCAGTTGGAAACAGTAGGCAGCAGTAGGCAGCAGTAGGCAGCACGTGGGCACTAGGGGACCCATCTAAACGCCCCTGGGGGGGTTATGGGGGCATATGCATCACGTCACTGGAGAGAAACAGGTGGAGGAAGCAAGGTGGGTAGATGATGCGCGGTGATCGGAGGGCGAGAGGTGGCTACAGCAGGAGTGTTGCGAGGAGGGCGGCGGAGACGAGTGGGGCGAGGTGACCCATGGCAATGCGTGAAGCAGGTTTCGGGGGAGGGGGGGAAACGGGTGTTATTACAGTCAACGGTGACGAGGCGTCAGAAGGCGCAATGGGGGATGTAGAGGGCGAGGGGGGGGAGGTGGAGGGGGCGGGGAGATTGGGGTTGGGAGGTGCTGCGGGGGCGGATGAAGGGGAGGGAGCGAGTATGATCGCTTCGAATGTTGAGCCTGGTGCAGTAAAGGGAAATGGAGATAGGGGGGAACGGGGAGGGAGGACAGCGAGGGGAAGAGAGTGAGAGGGGATCAAGTGGGATACGATATGCAACAGAAAGGAGGAGGGTGGGGAGGGAAGATAGGTGAATCAACAGGTGCTTAGAGACAAAAGCAGTCTGAGGAGCCCAGTGACAGTTGAGTGACACGGCCCACTAAGAGCTTGGCATAGTAACACACAGTAGTGGAAGTCTCAAGGAAATGGTGCGCGCTCACAGTTGAGGGGCGTGAAGGCAACGGTGCGCTGTTCCACGTCGAACTTCCAGTAGTGGTCCACCAGCCACGGGGCTGACCGTGTCACACATGCACCATTGGTGGATGGTGGGGCGGTGGGTGGTGGGGTGGTGGGTGGTGGGGTGGTGGGTGGTGGGGTGGTGGGGTGGTGGGGTGGTGGGGTGGTGGGGTGGTGGGGTGGTGGGGTGGTGGGGTGGTGGGGTGGTGGGTGGTGGGGTGGTGGGTGGTGGGGTGGTGGGGTGGTGGGGTGGTGGGGTGGTGGATGGTGGGTGGTGGATGGTGGGCGGTGGGGTGGTGGGGTGGTGGGTGGTGGGGTGGTGGGGTGGTGGGTGGTGGGGTGGTGGGTGGTGGGGTGGTGGGTGGTGGGGTGGTGGGGTGGTGGGGTGGTGGGTGGTGGGGTGGTGGGTGGTGGGGTGGTGGGTGGGGGGTGGTGGGGTGGTGGGGTGGTGGGTGGTGGGGTGGTGGGGTGGTGGGTGGTGGGGTGGTGGGTGGTGGGTGGTGGAAGGAGAGCCGGGTCACAAAGAGGGCAGGAGTGAGAAAGTGGGCAACGACTTGATGTGTCAAAACGAGTGCATACTTGTGAGTAATGTGCAGGGGTGACTGATATGAGCAGCATAAGAAAGGAGGACCCATGGTCCAGGAATGGATGACCAGGAAGGAGAGGACGGCCGCCACAGAATGAGCAAGCAAGCACAATGATACAGCTCTGGCACGACTCATACTTTTGAGGCGCCTCAAGCATAAAAATAGACTCCTCCTCACACATGGTTTTGAGGCGCCTCAAAAATAGACTCCTCACGCATGGTTTTGAGGCGCCTCAAAAATAGACTCCTCCTCACGCATGGTTTTGAGGCGCCTCAAAAACAGACTCCTCACGCATGGTTTTGAGGCGCCTCAAGCACAATGATACAGCTCTGGCACGACTCACACACACACACATGTTTCACTCGTGTTGTGTTGGCTCATATACCCTCTCACACACACCATGCAGACACACCACCACTGCGCTCAGGCACCCTCAAGCGCCACCCACTGCCCATGCACACAGCACTCACTGCCGCCCTAAACCCCTGCACACAGCACAGCACTCACTGCCCAAGTACACGGCGCGGGGAGCCCAGTCCGGGTGCGATTGGGCCAGCAGGCAGAGGATCTGGTGGGTCTCATTGCCCTGGGCAAGGCGGGGAGGGGGGGTCACAGGGTGCATGGACGTGGACGCACGAGTGCGTGGGTAGGAGGGGGAGGGAAGAGAGGGTTGCATATTTTTTAGGTGCTTCAGTGATTGATTCGGCTGGGAGGCAGAGGATCACATGGGTGTGGTTGCCCTGGGAAAGGTGCAGAGGGGGTTCACTTCACAGGGGGGGTGGACGCACGAGTGGGCGGGTGGGAGGAGGCAGGGGGGGCTTTGTCAGCATTGTTATGATCCTTTTGCCACCATGAAAGAGAGCCATGGAGGGAGATGAGACGGGGGGGAACAATATAAACGGGGAGATTCAAGTGTGCAACATGGGATTAATGGGAGTGTGACATGGGATGCATGGGTGTGTGACATGGGATGCATGGCTGTGTGACATGGGATGGGTGGGTGTGTTACATGGGATGGATGGGTGGGACTGAGAGCACAATGCACTGACAAAATATATGTGCACAAAGGATTCCCAAAAAAATCTCCCACATGGGTGGGTGGATGTAAGTCACAAAACGCGGGGGAATGCTTGGAGTGGGAGAGAGAAGAGAGACTGAGAGAGTAAGCGTGAGTACTACAAGGAGCAGTCGTCCCTTCTCTGGTAACAGTCGAACCTTAGACACAAAATCTCCATACACCCAAGCAAACACTTTCGATAACTCAATCCCAGATACATGCAAAATCACCAAACTACATACACGGACTTGAGGTGCTGAATAGCAGCGGGGAACTCACAGTGGAGTACAAGCAGTTGGGCCAGAGGGTGAACAGATTACAACGCAGCACGCCTTTATCAGAGTCTGGCTAGTGAACAGCAGCGGGGCTGGGCTGGGGCACTCACAGGGGAGTACATGTAGTTGGGCCACGTCACTGAGAAGGACCCCTCAGGCAGATCGAACGAGATGGGTGGGAAGATCTCATCCGGATTAGCACTGGCGGCAGTGATGGTGGTGGTGGTGGGGGTGGTGGTGGTGGTGGTGGTGGTGGTGGTGGTGGTGGTGGTGGGGGTGGTGGTGGGAACAAGAGGTGGGAGGTGGACAAGAGAGGGGATGATGAGGAGCAGAGGATTAGCAGAGTGGGGAAGTCGTGGTGTGTGTGAGGAGTGGAGGAATGGAGGACTAGTTTTGAGGCGTCTCAAAACTGGACTTGTAACACCCAGAAATTTGAGGCTCCTTAAAACTAGAGGTGGGAGGGAGGTGGACAGGAGAGAAGGCGATGAGGAGCAAGAGGATTAGCGGAGTGGGGGTGGCGTGGTGGGTGTGAGGAGTGGGGGTGGCGTGGTGGGTGTGAGGAGGAGTGGGGGTGGAGTGGCGAGAGAGGGGACAAGACAGAGAAGTAATTGCAGGTGGGTGGAGGTGGGTGGGGCAGGAGGCAAGGGGATGGGGAGAGAAGGGGAGAGAAGGAAGCCGACAGTCTAGGGTGTCTTGCGGCATGCAATGAGACGGTAAGGCTGAGATGAACGGCCCTGATCCAGTATCCAGGACTCACTCCCCAGCCAGGACTCACCCCCCAGCCCCCTGCTCCCCCCCGCCCCAACCCCAAGAGAGGACTCCACCCCACCCATTTCCCTTCCCCCCAAGAGCGAGAACTGAACCCCCCTAGAGCTTGGACTCACTTTAGAGCGAGGACGCCACAGAAGTAGCCAGGGAAGGCGTCCACCGTCGTCCCCATCACTGCATCTGGCAGGAAGAGCTGGTGCCGCCATGCCATGTGGCGTGATATGAGTGATGTGGCGTGACACAACGTTTCACATCACACCACGACACCATGTCATATTGCATCAGGCGATATGAGAGCATACCACTCCATAGGGTGCCATGTCAGGGGACCATGACAGGCCATCACATGCCATATCACTCCATCACATGCCATATCGCTCCATCACATGCCATACCACACCATCGCATGCCATACCACACCATCGCACACCATACCACACCATCGCATGCCATACCACACCATCGCATGCCATACCACACCATCGCATGCCATACCACACCACCGCATGCCATATACCAGCATCAGCACATCACAGCAAACAACACGAGGGCGAGGTTAGCTCACTCCGAACTCTCCATGCATTCGTTGCCAACATTGTGTTCCGACACCAAGGGCCAACCCGTGAACCGAGCAAGCTGCCATGGGGGCAAGCTGCCATGGGGCCAAGCTGCCATGAGGGCAAGCTGCCATGGGGGCAAGCTGCCATGGGGGCAAGCTGCCATGGGGGCAGGCTGCCATCGGGGCAAGCTGCCATGGGGGCAAGCTGCCATGGGGGCAAACAGCCATGGGGGCAAGCTGCCATGGGGGCAAACAGCCATGGGGGCAAGCTGCCATGGGAGCAAACAGCCATGGGGGCAAGCTGCCATGGGAGAAAACAGCCATGGGGGCAAGCTGCCATGAGAGCAAACAGCCATGGGGGCAAGCTGCCATGGGAGCAAATAGCCATGGGGGCAAGCTGCCATGGGAGCAAACAGCCATGGGGGCAAGCTGCCATGGGAGCAAACAGCCATGGGGGCAAGCTGCCATGGGAGCAAACAGCCATGGGGGCAAGCTGCCATGGGAGAAAACAGCCATGGCGGCAAGCTGCCATGGGAGCAAACAGCCATGGGGGCAAGCTGCCATGGGAGCAAACAGCCATGGGGGCAAGCTGCCATGGGAGCAAACAGCCATGGGGGCAAGCTGCCATGGGAGCAAACAGCCATGGGGGCAAGCTGCAATGGGAGCAAACAGCCATGGGGGCAAGCTGCCATGGGAGCAAACAGCCATGGGGGCAAGCTGCCATGGGAGCAAACAGCCATGGGGGCAAGCTGCCATGGGAGCAAACAGCCATGGGGGCAAGCTGCCATGGGAGCAAACAGCCATGGGGGCAAGCTGCCATGGGAGCAAACAGCCATGGGGGCGAGCTGCCATGGGAGCAAACAGCCATGGGGGCAAGCTGCCATGGGAGCAAACAGCCATGGGGGCAAGCTGCCATGGGAGCAAACAGCCATGGGGGCAAGCTGCCATGGGAGCAAACAGCTGGAACATTCTCGGCTCAATCATGGATGGTACGAGAGGCTGATCCATCAGCCTCCCCTGCCATCCCTTGGTAGAGGCTGATGGATGGGAGCTCAATCATGGATGGTACGTATCATTCTAAGCATGTCCAACACAACTACGAACGTATTGCCGAACCACTCCAGCAGTTCCATTCCACTTGCCGCCATTCCGAGTACCAAGGCGCGTTGTACATCTTGCCAGACTTATGTTCCACGTGAACTACTACACGTGATATAACACTTCCACACGAACAGCACACACACCACACCGGACTCAAGGCACAGCACAGCGCCCACCTTTTATTAGGCGCCTCAAAAATCGCCTACCCGCCCACATGACCCCACCCACTTGCCTATCCTCCCAGCCTGCCACCCAGCACCCACCCACCCACCCACACATCCACCCAGCCACCCACACACCCAGCCAGCCACCCACACAACCAGCCAGCCAGCCAGCCCACGCACGCACGCACCGCGTTGGCGAGGTTTTCGTAGACGTCGCGGCGCAGCGAGAGGAAGTCGCGCGCCGTGTCGAGGGCGAAGCCCCCAAAGGACGAGTTGACCATCTTGCCGATGCCCGCCGAGCCGTTGATCGCCTGCTCGCCCAAGCGAATGCCCATCACGTTCAGCAGGTAGCGCGAGCTGGTGAGTGGAGGGAGGGGGGGAGAGGGGGGGAAGGGGGTTGCAGGAGGGAGGGGGGGTTTGCAGGAGGGAGGGGAAGAGGGGATGGGGAGGTGGGGGGATGGGAGAGGAGCAGGGGTGGTGGGAGCAGGGGAGGGATGGGGGGAGGATAAATGGTGGTATGGGGGAGAAGAGTTTTAACCATCTTGCCAATGCCCGCCGTGCCGTTGATCGCCTGCTCGCCCAGGCGAATGCCCGTCACGTTCAGCAGGTAGCGAGGGCTGATTGGGGGTGGCGAGAGAGGTATGGGAGGGAGGGAGGGAAGGGGAAAGGGGAGGGGGAGGGGGTGGGGAGGGCGGAGGACGGGGGGGAAATAGAGAGTGAGTTGCAGGAGAGTAGATAGCGCGAGCTGAGGGGTGGAGGGGGAGGGGGAGGGGGAGGGGTGGGCGTGACAACCATACATACCCAACCCACTTTGCAGCAACGCCCACACACACCTGCTATCGGCGACGTTGAAGGGCATCGTAACAAGCCCCACAGGATCAAGCATAGAGCCAACGTCCAGCAGGGCCGCCAGATTAGAACCGTCCAGGCACAGCGAGAAAGAAGGCGTCGCTGCCGTTGCCATTGCCGTTGCCGTTGCCACACACGCACGCACGCACGCACGCACGCACGCACGCACGCACGCACGCACGCACGCACGCACCCACGCACACACACACAGACACACACACACACACCTGTTATCGGCGACACTGAAGGGCGTGGAAACAAGCCCAACGGGGTCCGGCGTGGAGCCGACAACGAGCACGCCCGACTGGGCGGAGGAGCCGTCCAGGCACAGCGCGAAGGCGTTGGGGCGCGTGGCGTTGCTGCCCTTGAGGGTGCTGGTGGCGTGCATCTGCGCCGAGAACGAGAACGGCCCCGCGCCCAGCCCCACGGCGCCGTCGGGCCCAAAGCCCTCCATCATTGGGTCCTCCACCCTGCTGCATCTGGTGATCGGAGGGAGGAGGAAGGAGAAGGAGTGAGGGAGGGAGAACGGCGGCGAGGGAGAGCGGCAGCAAGAAAAAGCGGTTGTTTGCCATGCCATGCCATCCCACACCACATTGAGCAGTGCGCCGTGAAGCGCCACACCGCACCAACAAGGAAGAAGAATCCTCAGGAAACAATCCTCAGGAGGGGGGAACAGGGGACGAGGGGGGGAACGAGGAGGGAGGAGGGTGAGGACAGGGGGGAACGGGGGGGAGTTGAGGGGGAGTGCGGGGGGAAGGAAGGGGGGGAGGACGGAGGGGGAAGGAAGAGTTGATGCTGTTTCGAGCGTGCACAAAGCAGGCCGCGACCATGCACAAAGCAAACCGCGACCATGCGCATATGTACCCGAAGTTGATGGGCGAGGTGAAGCTGTCGTGCTCGCCGGGCGGCAGCGAGGAGTCAAACAGCGGCACGGTGAGCACGTCCGAGAACACGTCCCCCGCGCCCATGCTGATGTTGAACTCGCACACGTCCGGCCGGTCTGTCAGCAGCGGCTGTGAGTTGCACGAGAAGGTGGCGCTCTGTGCGCACACCGGGCTCGTGCATGGCACGGGCTTGGCAGTCAGGGACTTGCGTGTGTCCAGTGTGGTACGGTTCTGCGATGGGGGGAGGGGGGGGAGGGAGGGAGGTGGGGGTCAAGGTTGGAGAGGCGCGGAGAGAGAGAGGGACACGGGTTCAGTGGGGCGGGCAGAGGGGTGGTGGACAGATTTGTGGAAGGTGTGGCGGTCGTCACTCATGGTTGGAAGGGCAGTGAGTGAGTGAGTGAGTGAGTGTGTGAGTGAGTGACGACGACCGGGTGGGGGGGGGGGGGAGATGTGTGGAAGGCGTGGGGTGGTTAGGAGGCGAAGCGAGGGTACAGGGAAGGGTGCGTGCACGGTGGTGAGCAATGGGGGGCTGGCAGCAGTGAGTGGACGTGGCGCCAGATAAGGACGAGGGAGGGTCCCATCCATCCCTTGCTACGAACCAGTCACCTCTGATACACGTCACGCACGGCGCACGGTACAAGGTGCATGTGCACCCAAGTGCGACATGTGTGTGCACAAGCAAGGCGCCGCAGCCCGATGGCAATTTCACCCACACACGCACCCACCAACCCACGCATGCACGCACGCACGCACGCACGCACGGACGTACAATGCCGAGCACATCGAGCGCGTTGGCGGCGGAGGGGCAGAAAATGCAGTCGCAGCTGACCCACGTGACGCTCGTGCTCAGATCCGCCAGCACCACGAACTGCCTCGCGGGGGACCCCAGAATGATCGTCATGATGTACGGGCTGCGATGGAGGGGAGAGGGGTGGGAGGGAAGTGGGGGGGGGGGGGGAGGAGGGGGGAGGAACGGGGGGAAGGAGGTGGGGGGGTGCGAGGGGGCGGAGCAGGGTGGGGTTGGGAGAGAAGGCCTATCTTTGGCGCCTAAAAGAATTACGCCAGCACCACGAACTGCCTCGCCGCGGGGGACCCCAGAATGATCGTCGTGATGTACGGGCTGCGAGGGGGGGGGAGAGGGGGTGGGGGGGAAGGGGGTGGAGGGGGGTGGAGGGGGGTGGAGGGGGGGATGAGAAGGCGGGCTTCTGAAGGCCGGCCCAGGTGAGTCGCCTCGGCGATGCCTTGAGAGCACTCTGAGAAAGCAGAGCAAAGTCTGCTCGGTGGAGTGGAAGAGGGAGAGGTGGATGAATTGGAGCTGACTGACTCAGTCACAGTCACAGACACATGCATTGGCTGCTCGGAGAGTGATGCACCGTGACTGGTAACCGACTGGTCGCACTGTGATTCACGGTCAGCGACCGCACTGTGATTCACGGTCAGCGACCGCTCTGTGATTCACGGTCAGCGACCGCTCTGTGATTCACGGTCAGCGACCGCTCTGTGCGTCACCACCACCTCTCGTCGTGCCTACCTGCTAGCTACCCTCCACCTGCCTCTCTCGCTAGCACTGCGTGGTGAAGCACTAGAACGAGCAGCGCTACAACGAGCAGCACAATGCGCGGAGCACAACGTGCGCAGCGCAGCACCAGGCGCGGCGCAGCACCAGGCCCGGCGGAGCACCAGGCCCGGCGGAGCACCAGGCCCGGCGGAGCACCAGGCGAGGAGCAGAAGAGAAGAGCGCTCACCCCTTGATGTCGAAGGAAAAGAGCGGAAAGATGAGGCTGTCCGATGTCCCCTGCAGCACCGACCGACGATGGGCCTGCCACGCACGCACTCACGCACGCCGAGAAGCACAGATGGTAGTACCCCCGCAGGGAGTAGGACCGAGGTACGGATACGTTAGCATGTCACGGACGTTAACGGAACGGAACAGATCCCACGGTGAGGAAGTGGCGGTGTGATTTGGGGCGGGCGGGAGGGAGGGGAGGGGGCGGGGGGTGGGGGGGGCTGCGCGTGTGTGCGAGAGAGACGTACTATGACCTAGTAGGAGGGAGAGAGAGAGGAGGAGGAGGGCGGGGTTCGGGGGGAGGGGGGGAGAGGGGACGGGAAGGAGGAGGAGAGGAGGGGCGGGGGAGATAGCAGAGAGCGGGAGCGCAGAGAGAGCATTACCTGGGAGGCGGCCATATCGGCGCGCTCTTGCAGGCGTCGAAGCTGGTGCGGGGAAAGACGCTGCGAGGCAGCATTGCGGTCGAACGACGCCTTGAAGGGCGACTTGGAGAACACATGGTCCGCGAGCCTGCGACGATCCCCGCCACCATAAGCATGAGCATAACCATGGCGATGCGCGATGTCGCTGTCTTCGGCCTCCGCAATGTCCTGTGTGAGAGGACAGCGCGCAGCGAGAGAATGTAGTTTTTTTTGTTAGGAAATCATGGCTTTCTAAGGAATGTCTAGTCATACGCATCATGTTCCGATGCTATATCTAGGGTTGATATGGCAGCATGTGGCGATGAATAGGCTTGCGAAGGAAGGGATGAGGACAATGCCGCCGCATCGATGGAGACAAAGGAGATGAAGCGAAACAAAGAGACATTGGTAAAAGGAAATGCCGTGGCGGTATGAGAAGAGAATAGCGGCCCGCGGAAATGCATGCCGTGATCCAAGCAGACCGTCGGCGGACGATGAAGCTTAAGCTTCATGCGGCGAACGTCGATGTGCCTAACATGCGGCGCTACTAGTCTGTACATGAATATCAGCCTTCGGTACCGCCAACTCAGGAAGCTTTGTCCTAGTAGACGGATTGACCAGGAGGAAAAAAAAAAAAAAAAAAAAACGGTGAGGTTCGGGCACTACCTTCCTGACAAACGGGTGAGGCTCGGCGCGCTGGAAGACGACGGAGATCAGCAGCGCGACGAGGACCAGACGCCCTTTGCGGCCCGCGAGGGAGAACGCTGCTGACTGGAGAGTCGCCATGGCTGGCTTGCCTGTGTAGCTGGAGCCTACTGCCAAATGCTAGTGCTCACTCACTCTGCTGGTGCACAAGCAACCAGGCGTCACTGCTAGCTCACTCTTGGTGTTGAGGGTGACTGTTTCCAAGGTTAGCAGGGTAGGGTACGGTGTAGTATGGTGCGGTCTGGTACGGTTTGGTGTGGTGGTGTCGATGGGGTGGCACAGCACAGCACAGTGGCGCAGGGTCGACAGGTCAGTTGGGAGAATCGGAGGATTTGTGCGGTGCAGCAGAGGGAAACACAGAACGAACTGGCAGGGATTCAAGGTTCGTGTCTGTCCAGAGCGTTTTCCAATGATCCTGTAGTTCGTCTCGGTACAAAATTGGTCAACAAAGTTGGCCTCGATGGGCTTCTCGTCCATCTCGTGTGACCACAACTGGCGAGAGTGGACCCGAACATTGACGAAAAATCGCTTCGAAGCTCGGCGACGAGATGGACCGTCAGAACAAACCGAGACGCAACGTCCTATTGAAATGACAAAAACGGACGGCGGATGCAGCCTGGTTTCCGCTCACAAGCGTCATCGCGCTGACCTCGGCTGATTGGTTGCGTTTTAACGAAGGGTGATGTGCGAGTCGTCCGGGTGGCGAAGTGGGTCCTCGCGAAATCGCAACACACCGAGATGAATGGCTCAAAACTTGTTCATTTCGGTGGGCACACTCCACCGAAACCAACTATCGAGACGAACTATCGTTGGAAAACGCTCTCGAAGACCGTCAGGACGAGACGTGTTTGGTAGGCTCGCAGGCCGACTTCTGTAGCTGGGACGGGATTGGTGGGCAGCCCGCAAACCGCAATCCGTACGAGTATCCTTGGGGTTGTCCTAACCAGGGCACCCCCCCTGATCTGATGGATGCGAGAGGCCCGGCGTTTTAGCTTCAATGTTAGACTCAGCACTAGATTGCAGCACTCTGTAATGTAGTGAAAACTAGAGAAACCGCACTGAACCTCTCCGTGTGTGCCGGTGCAGTGCTGATGTCACGCTTTGAATGAAAGAAATGAACAGGTTGGTGTTTGATCACTTTCTATACGGTAACATGGACCCATCCAACCTAGCAATAGCGTTTCCTTATTCTTACTATACATTATATTCTGGTGAACTAATCATGATGCATGAGATAAGCTCATGCATATTTGACATTCGTTTTTCTTATGAAATTATAATGGGTTTCATTCCGCTTACACCTATCGGCCACAAACCTAAAATTCAGGCATAACGAAGAGGTTATTGGAGTAAACAACTATTATCAGGAGTGGTTAAGTAATAACTCTGTCGAGTATAATTCAACAGATTTTATGAAATGCATAATGCAAACCCTTGCATTTGAAATAATTTGGTTGCTGGAGAACCTCTAGTATTGATCCTAAGGTAACATATCCTATAATCTACCTAGAAAATACTTCCAACTTGGCCTGTTATAAATTGAGAGTTCGAGCTAATGTATTAGGATTACTTGGCCCTCCATCTCAAGGTGGATACCTGTCAGCTGCGGCACGTGGATACACGTCATCTGGTGATCTTTTAGGGAAGGTTGCCAAGCCTCACACGTCCAACTGGGATGTCCCAAGATGGTCTGCAGACGTGGATGGAAGTATCCACATGCTTCTCCTCCACGTGTACGCCAGCCCATCAAAGCGATGGACTGCTGCTCCTTCCAGGTTTTGCTCAAAGGTCATCCAAACAAGGCTGCGTGGGACTTCCATGTACGAAGTTCGCATATTCAGGTTACCGTTTTGTCTGACTCTTTCAAACTGCCACAGCTTCGCCACAGATCGCCACCTCGTTATGTGGCGGCGGGGGAACTCTTCAACCACCGGATGTGTCTGTAACGAACTCGCCAGGACGCGGAATGCTTTTGGATTTGCCAGAAACAACTGCAGAGCAGAAAGAAGCCCCTCGAGAAAGCATGCAATGCAGTAGAGGGTTTGGAATCTGACCCCAAGTTCCAGCATCTCCTTTTAGCCAGCAACCATCGATTTTTAGGGAGGACGGTCCAGCTTTGCTTGCGTCAACAATTAAAAATAGTCGAATTTGCTGTGTCAGGTATTTTAGCAGGGCTAGATTGTTTTCCTTCCGTTGACGGTTAGATTCCGACTTCTCCGATTATCATTCGTCCAGCCAAAATTCGCGCAGGCGTTTTTAGGAGCTACTTGAGACTTGAACAGCAGGCTCTAGGCTGGTGTCGGATAATCAGCCTCATCACCAGGAGTATTATTTCTAGATTTCAGTCTGTTTTAGTGGATATTGGTCAGTTCTTGGTGGAAAGTGGAGCTTGCATTGGAGGGTTTAAGGCCTAGTGACTCATCCGTCGTCATCTTAAGTTGCACCAGGGATACGGTTTTCCTCTTCTTCGCCGCTCCTTTCTGCCGTAATGGCTTCCGGGGAGGAAGGGGTTCCTGGCTTCTTGACGGAGACGCAGCGAATGGTGCTGAGCGCGGCGCTGGAAGAGCGAGACGCGCTGCGCGGGGAAGTCCGCGCAGTGGACCCCAAGGAGCCGACAGGGCCTCGCCCGCACATCGAGCACGCCACTAAGCACCCTCCCGCTGCTCGCGCGCACCATCGCGCCGTCGCTCAGAAGCAGGAGCGCCGCTCGCATCAGGTCACCAATGGCCGGCCGAAGAAAGGTACACGGCTTTAGTCGACTCAAGCTGCTCCAGCTCGTGGTACCGCTCGCGATACCGTCACATGTCTAAGACGATATAAACACGCTCGTCGTGCGATTTGCATGACGCGTAAGTGGTTTCATAAGACATGATTAATCGTACGAGATATCGCGCAAACGCACCGTCGCGTCGCCGCTAAAAGTTCTTGGGGCGCTTAAAACAAATAGCACCGTTGTTTGGCCGCTAAGCCACGACCATCGCCTTGCTCATCGATTCCTGTCTCCTTCGCGCGTCACAAGATGGGCACGCTGCAGGGCTTTTAGGCTTGCTGTTGCAGTCTCTCGCTTTTGTCAGATTCGTGGGGTCACTATTGCAGACTTTGTTCGTCCTTGCTTGATATCTCTCTGCATTGATTTCGTCTGCGCAATGGTTCCACCTCAGGTTTTGTTTTCTCCTCTCGTTTTTTTTTTTTCCCCCTTTCAAAACGCCCGCGCTCGCTTTGTCGCGTACCCGCTCCACTGTTTTCCGCCACTTTGTTCTGTCTTTCACATCGGCTCGCCGCTGTCACGCCCCGGTCCATTAGAGTCGCCGTCGCCCACCTCTGGCTCATGCTGCGCCTTGCGTTTTCAACATAGCTGCTGGTAGCAAAGCAACTCACTTCTGCTCGTGCCTGTTTAATCGCCAAGACCGCCTGCCGTGTGCGTTGAAACCGACTCATGGTGCCTTCTCCCGTGGCTTTGGATTCCCTGTCCGGCTGCGATGCAATGAACATGCCTGTGTGGGGGGTGGGGATGGCGTGGAGTATGTGGGGGCGGGAGAGAGACTCCGTTCTCTGTATACGCCTGCTCGTTATGCGCATACGTGCATGGCCTGCGTGGCGCGCGTGGATGGCGTGATGTCGTGCGGGCGTGCGGGCGTGCGGGCGTGGGGCGTGCGTGGCGTGTGTGCGTGGTGTCTGTGTCCCCCCAAGGGCCTGCAGCTGGCGGGGGCGGCAAGGGCACGTGGGGCGATCCCCTGGACCTGCACAACTACGAGCACGAGATGGACCCGGGCGACCCGCTCTACGAGAGCGACGAGGTGAGCACCGCTGCTCTACGAGGGCGACGAGGTGAGCACCGCCGCTGCTGGGTAGGGAGGTAGGACCAAGCATGCTGTGCATGCTGGTCAGCAGCGCGCTGGCTGCGTTTGGTACTTGCTGCGTTTCTTGCCCTCGCTGCTGTGTCTCTCTCGCTTCTCTCCTATCCCTCTCCCCCCCCTCCTCCCCACCCTCCCATCCCCCCGTTTTCTCCCTTCCCCCGACCTCCTCCGCGTTGTCGCTATCTGTGTCTACCCCACCCCACCTTTCTCCTGGCGCCTTGTTGATGGTTGAGGTTCACCACTCTGCGCATCCGTACTCCTCATCCCCTCCTCCCGTCATCCCCTCCTCCCGTCACACTCTCCTGACCCTCCCCTCGCTCCCCTCATTCCTGCCCTCTCCCCCGCTCCCCCGCTCCCCCGCTTTCCCGCTCCCCCGCTTTCCCGCTCCCCCGCACTCTCCTCTCCCCCTCTCTCCCCCCCGCAGGACGACGAGCCGATGCACGTGGCGCTGCCCACGCCGGTGGCGCACACAGTGGAGGACTACAAGCGCAAGGTGGTCGCCCTCCTCGAGGAATTTTTCTCCTCGGGCGACATCAGCGCGGCCGCGCAGGACCTCAAGGACCTGGCGCAGGAGCACTACCACCACCACGTGGTCAAGCGCATGGTCACTATGTCGCTCGACCGCCACGACCGCCACAAGGAGATGGCCGCGCAGCTGCTCTCCGCGCTCTACGCCGCGGTCATCGCGCCGGACCAGCTCGCCAAGGGGTTTAAGAACCTGCTCGAGAGTGTGGAGGATCTGGAGATCGACTGCCCCGGCGCGGGGGATGTTCTCGCGACGTTCCTCGCGCGTTCTGTCGTGGACGACGTGCTTCCACCCGCGTTCCTCAAGCGGATGGCGAAGAAGCTTGAAACGGGGGAGGGCGCTGGTGCGGGGGGCGCGGCGGGCGCGGAGGACGGGGACGGGGAAGGGGAGGCCGGCGCGGGGCAGGCGGCGGGGGGAACGGGCGGGCGCGCGCTGGAGGTGGTGCGCGCGGCGGAGGGGAAGCTGGCGAGCGCGCACCACGCGGAGGTGCTGGAGAAGTGCTGGGGGGGCTCGGCGCGCGTGACGTACGAGGGCGCAAAGGGGAGCATCAAGCAGCTTCTGGCGGAGTATGTTGTGAGCGGGGAGCGCGGAGAGGCCTGCCGCTGCATCCGCGAGCTCAACCTGCCCTTCTTCCACCATGAGGTGCGAGGGGGGATGGGGATGGGGTGGGGTGGGGTGGAGTGGGGTGGAGTGGGGTGAGTTGGGATGGGTTGGGGCGGGGGCGAGTGGAAGGGCATTGTTGTGAGGCCAGTAAACGAAGTGTGAGGGTTTTGGAGAGAGTGGGAGGGACGGGGGACGGGAGGTGGGGGGGAGGGAAGGGCGAGCGAGAGAGGACACGGAAGGGGTGGGAGGAAGAAATCAGCAAAGGGTTTTGGGGAGAGGAAGAAATCAGCAAAGGGTTTTGGGGAGGAAGAAATCAGCAAAGGGTTTTGGGGAGAGGAAGTGGTGGAAGGGAGGGTGCAAGTGAGGGAAGGGAAGAGAGGAAGGAGAAGGGAGGCAAGTAGTGGTGGTTGCAAAGATGGAGAGAGGAGGGGGGTGGGAAGGGAGGGAAAGCGAAGAGGGTTTCGCTTGGGCGGTACTAAGTGCAGTACGAATATGGATATGCCGTCATAAGCACCCCTTGTCGCAGTGACGCGTGTCACGAAGTGCAGTGATTGCCCCCCAGTGTTAGGATTGCCACACAGAAAGAAATTCTGCAAGAATACTGGTGCTGCAGCTTTTTTTAGGTGCCTCAAAAAGGAGTCTTCCAATCTAAGAGATAGATAGTCAGAGGATTGCAGCAGAGAACATTCTCTTAAAAATGAAGAGTGTGAGATAGTAGTCTGGTGCTTCATGTTCAATTGACAGTAGTCTTGAGACGTCTCAAAAGTAATCCAGTACCACACAGACAGATTATTCACTGCGAGAAGTGCGAGAAGTGCGAGAAGTGCGAGAAGTGCGAGAAGTGCGAGAAGTGCGAGAAGTGCGAGAAGTGCGAGAAGTGCGAGAAGTGCGAGAAGTGCGAGAAGTGTGAGATAGTAGCCTGTTGCGTCACACGTGTGATAGACAGCAGTCTCTGATCCGTCCCTTGCTGTTGAGCCAACTCGAAAGCTCACCCATTCCCCGTTCGCACGCAATGGCGCCACCAGCTGTTGCTAACCAGCCCTCTCACGCTCACCAACCCATACTCCCGCTCAAGTGCTCATCCACGCTCCTCCCTCGTCCGCCTCGCCTCTTCTGCATCCTCTCCCATTGATGTGGTTCCACACTTTCAACCTTTTGATTTTTGAGGCGCCTCAAAAACCTTTTGAGTCGACTCAAAAGCGCCTCTTCTGCATCCTCTCCCATTCATGTGGTTCCACACTTTCAACCTGCCACCCCTCATCACCTCCACTCTCTTCATCGCCACAATGCCTCGCATGCCATTCCATTCTCTAAACCCCTCCCCCCCCTCCCTCCCCCACCGCCCCGGCCCGGGCCCCCCATGTGACGATGATCTAGTTTTGTGACGTCTCAAAACTGTTCATCGCCACAACACCTTGCATGCCCTCCGTTCTCGAACAACGTCTACCCCCCTCCGGCTGTTGATGAATGCGGGGCTGATACTTGCGGTGGAGAACAAGCCCCCAACACAATTTCTGTGTACCTCCCTCCCTCCCCAACCCCCCACCCTTTCCCCCCTTCTCTCCACCCTCCTCTCCACCACCCCTCCCCCCCCCGGCCCCCCGCAGGTGGTGAAGGCGGCGCTGATAATGGCGATGGAGAACAAGCCCAAGGAGGCGGCGCTGCTGTCGCTGCTGCAGGAGGCCGCGCAGGAGGGGCTCATCTCCGCCAGCCAAGTGAGTGCCGCCGCACCTCATGCCGCCGCACCTCATGCTGCTGCTGCCGCGCCACCGCCGCTGCTGCTATGGTGGCAGGGGTGGCAGGGGTGGCAGGGGTGGCATGGGTGTTGGGGATGCCGGCAAACATAATGGTCAATACAAGGATGCTCGGTGTTACTTCAGTGTCAGCTCGGCTGTGAAGTGTGGCTAGTGGATTCTGCTGTGAAGTGTGGCTAGTGGATTCTGCTGTGAAGTGTGGCTAGTGGATTCTGCTGTGAAGTGTGGCTAGTGGATTCTGCTGTGAAGTGCAGCTAGTATTCTGGGCTATCCAAGGGTGTATATCTGGAGTGCTCTTTAACGGATTGGAAGGAGCGTGCAAAAATTCAGAGAGAAGCGTTTGTTGCTGCAGAGGGGGGCGTTTGTCCAGGGAACATGTCACCCTCGTGACGAGGAGCTAGGGTTTAAGCAGTGGGTCATGGGTCATGAGTCATGGGTCATGAGTCATGGGTCATGGGTCATGAGTCATGGGCCATGGGTGGTTTGGGCAGTGAGTCTGTGTCATGGGTTATGGGTTAGCTGACGTCCTGTGCATGAAAGAAACGATACGCTACTGAACGACTCACCCCGCTCCTCCTCTCTCCCCCGCCCCCGCCCCATTTCCCCGCCCCATTATTCCCCCCCCCCCCCCCTCCCCCGCCCCCCAGGTGAGCAAGGGGTTTGGGCGCGTGTTTCAGAACATAGACGACTTGGCGCTGGACGTGCCGTCGGCGCCCGACGACCTGCAGCGCATGGTGGCGCACGCCACCTCGCACGGCTGGCTCTCCGCCGCCTTCGCCGACGGCGTCTGGGCGGATCTGGTCGCTGCCGAGGCGTCCGTCACGAATGAAACCAGCAAGGTGAGGCTCGGATGGGGGGGAGAGGGGGGGGGGAAGAGAGTGGGGGAGAGGGGTGAGGGGGAGAGGCGCGAGGGGAAGAGTGGGGACAAGGAGGTCAAGCGCAAGGGGCGAGTAGCTTAAGGGGAGAGGAGAGCATTTGCCACAGCCGAAGAAGGAGAAGAGAGGGAAGAAGTGTGGTGTCAGAGAGGATCTATGACCTATCCTTCTGACTTATCATTTGCCGGCCCGAATGCAGGAGAGTGTGCGTCCAGCGTTGGTCCTGCAGGCCCGTGCACACACACTCTCCTCCTCCCCACACATGCGCTCCTTCCTCCCCAATCACCTGCATCCCTCCCCTCCCTCCCACTCTCCTCTCCCCACGCACTGTGCTGCGACGTCCCGAATCTGCTCCACCACCTCGCACACCCCTCCCCATTCCCCTCCGCTCCCCTCCGCTCCCCTCCATCCCCATCCATTCCCCGCTCTTCCCCCCCCCTCCCCCTCCCTCTCAATATCGCGCCCCCCACAGGTTCTTCAGGACGTCAAATCTCGCTCATCCCTCATCGTCCCCTCCCTCCCTCCCCTTCCTCCCATCCCTCCCTCCCCTCCCTCCCACATGTTCTCCCGGACTTCAAATCCCGTTCATCTCTCATTGCGGCCGAGTACTTTGAGTTGGGCGACGTGATGGAGGTGACGCAGTCGCTGGAGGAGCTGGCGTACCACCCTCTCTTTTCCTCATTGCCGCCCCCCCTCTCTCCCCATTGCGCCCCTCTCTCCCCATTGCCCCCCTCTCTCCCCATTGCCCCCCTCTCTCCCCATTGCCCCCCTCTCTCCCCATTGCCCCCCTCTCTCCCCATTGCCCCCCTCTCTCCCCATTGCCCCCCTCTCTCCCCATTGCCCCCCTCTCTCCCCTCCCCCCCGCAAACAGGTTCTCCAGGACTTCAAATCGCGCTCGTCTCTCATAGTGGCCGAGTACTTCGAATCCGGCGACGTGATGGAGGTGACGCGGTCGCTGGAGGAGCTGGCGTACCCGGACCTGCACCACCACCTGGTGAAGCGCCTGGTGACCATGGCCATGGACCGCAACAACCGCGAGCGGGAGATGGCCTCGCAGCTGCTCTCCGCGCTCTTCCAAGACGTGCTGCCCACTGACCAGGTGCGTGGTGCTGCTGCCCAGTGCCGACCGACCAGGTGAGTGGATGATGGGAGAGAGAGGTGGTGATGATGATGGGGAGAAGGAGATCAGTGGCCGCACTAACTGACACCACCATACGCGCATGCATGCATATTCACCACCACATGCCTGGCAGGTGGAGGAGATGGGGTTCTTGTGTCTGCTGACTGAGGCTGTTGTCTCTCGTTCTACCCTCACTGGCATGCGCCCATCCCTTCACTTCCACTCACTCCTCCCCCTCTCTTTCCCTCCCACACCTTCCCCCCCCTCCCCCCCACCCTCCCCACACACACCACATGCGTGTCCTCTCAGGTGGAGATAGGGTTCTCATGGATGGCCACCATGGGCATCTACTGCTAGGGGCCATGGACACCCTGCATACCTGACTCTTCACTCACACCATCCACACGTGCATGCCCCCCACCCGCAATGCGTGCCCCTTTCAGGTGGAGATGGGCTTCCTGCATCTGCTGGATGCGGTGGATGACCTAGCGCTCGACATCCCCATCAGTTGACTCACACTATCATGCGTACGTAGGCAACCATTCCCTCCCCCTTCCCCTCCTCTCATCCCCCCCCCTCTCCCCACCCCCCCCCCATGCGCCCCTCAGGTGGAGATGGGCTTCCTGCGTCTGCTGGAGGCGGTGGACGACCTGGCGCTGGACATCCCTGATGCCGCCACGCAGCTCGCACTCTTCATCTCGCGTGCCGTCATCGACGACGTCCTCGCGCCGCACTTCGTCCTCGGCCTCCCCGGAAACGCCCCGCCGGTTGTCGCTGCGGACACCGCTGCTGCTGACACCACCTCTGCCCCTCCTGCCGAGGCTACTGCTGCCGCTGATGCTGGTGCTGACGCCACGCCCGCTGGTCCCACCGCGCCGGCAGCAGCGGAAGAGCCGGAGGAAGCAGCGCTGGGCGGCGGGCCGGCGCTAGCAGCGGTGGCGGCATCTTCACTGGCGCGGGAGGTGGTGCACATGTCGCAGGCGCTGATCACGGCGAGACACGCGGGCGAGCGGCTGCTGAGGTGCTGGGGGGGCAGTGCGGCGGTGGGGCGCAGCGTGGCGGACGCCAAGGAGAGCATTGTGTCGCTGCTGTCGGAGTATGTGGCGGGCGGCGAGCTCAGCGAGGCCTGCCGCTGCATCCGCGAGCTCAACCTGCCGTTCTTCCACCATGAGGTGCGAGGGGGGATGGGGATGGGGTGGGGTGGGGTGGGGTGGGGTGGAGTGGGGTGGGGTGGGGTGGGGTGGGGTGGGTTGGGGTGGGTTGGGATGGGGTGGGTTGGGATGGGATGGGATGGATTAGGGTGGGGGCGAGCTCAACCTGCCAGTCTTCCACGGTGAGGTGCGGGCTCGGTCATGTTAGAGAACTCTCGACAGCACCCCTTTATCATGAGGTGCGGGCTCATTCATGTTTAAACAAACTGAGGTAGACTGGAGCATGTTCCTGGCTGGAACTGTCCGTTCGGAGGAGATGAGGTAGAGGGCTTCATGCACGGGTGGTCGGGGCTCGAGTCCTGGCGTGCTTGTATCATTCTGGCGGTTGCACGGGGCGGGGCAGTCTAGTCACACACACACACGTGTGCATGTTTATCAGACCCCTTTGTTCGAGTGACAGCAGCAAATGTTGCTTTTCCAAACTGTGAGCATCCTTATGGATGGATCCACACGCAGTCACATCTCCCATCCACCCCCTCTTCCAGTTTCCCTCCCTCCCCGCTTCCCTCCCCACCAACTTTCCCACCCCACCCTCTCAGATTGTCAATCAGTCGCTAGCGCTGGGGATGGAGGAAGCGCGAACCTAAGGATGCTCGGAGTTTGGAAAAGCAGCATTCTCACACATCCGATTCTCATCTTACCTCCACACCCGCCCCACCATCCTCACTCTCCCAATCCCCTCCCTCCCGCGTCCTCAGATCGTCAAGCAGGATCTGGTTGGAGGAATGGAGGAGCCGCGCCACAAGTCCAAATTCCCCTCCCCTCCCTCTCTTCCCCTCATACCCCTTCGCCTCCCAATCCCCTCCCTCTCCCACCCCTCAGATCGTCAAGCAGGCTCTGGTGTCGGGAATGGAGGAGCCCCGCCACGAGCCCCACATGCTGCTGCTTCTCCAGGAGGCGTTGGACGAGGCGCTCATCTCCACCAACCAGATGGCACGTGGCTTCCAGCGCGTGGCCGATGCACTCCCCGACCTCGTGCGCGACCCATGGATGCATGTGTTCCCACATCCCATACATCCCCCTCAGCCTAACACGTCACTCTGCCCGCACCCCACATTCCCTCCCCTCCCCCTTCCCTTTCCCCGGCCCCTCCTTTCCACCCCCTGCAGATCGTGAAGCAGGCGCTGGTGAGGGGGATGGAGGAGCCCCGCCACGAGCCGCGTGTTCTCCTGCTCCTGCAGGAGGCGTCGGATGAGGCGCTCATCTCCACCAACCAGATGGCGCGCGGCTTCCAGCGCGTGGCCGACGCACTCCCCGACCTCGTGCTCGACATCCCCAATGCCGTCCCGCAGTTTGCTGCCCTGGCTGAGACTGCTAAGAGCCGCGCCTGGATCCCCGCAGACTTCGCGTATAAGGCTGAGCTGCCTGGGGGGGATGTGGTTGCAGGTGCGCAGGAGGGTAAGGAGGGGGCGGTTTCCGAGCCGGCTGCTGCGTAGAGCGGGAACCGGAGCGAGGCTGCAGGGTGCCACTCTGGCTGACACTGCCAAGCACCAGATGGATTCCCATGGATTTCACGCACCAGACTGAGCGGCCATTGGAGGGTGCGGGTGGGGAGGAGGGGAAAGTGGGTGTGGCAGAGAGGCAGAGGGAGTGGGTTCTGAGGCTGCTGCTGCGTAGTTGGTGGAGGAGGTGGTAGGTGGCAGGTGGGAAGCAGTGGAGAGGAGAGGAGAGGAGACGAGGAGAGGAGAGGAGAGGAGAGGAGAGGAGGAGAGGAGAGGAGACGAGGAGAGGAGACGAGGAGAGGAGAGGAGAGGAGGAGAGGAGAGGGGAGGAGAGGAGAGGAGAGGAGAGGAAAGGTGTGGCAGGGAGGAGAGTCATGAGGGTGAGGGATCTTCTCTCTTTCCCGGCCTTACTCTGCTAGGAGGATATCTCTGGTGTTGTTTCATGTACCACTTGTGAGCAGTTTGGTTGGATAGTGACAGCAAGGGGTTCTTTCCTCTAGACTGGATTTAGGTGCTTCCTTTTCCGCATGACATGCACGACATGGCATCGTCTGCACACATTTTTCCGCCATTGGAGTTGCTTATGGTGCTGACAATGGGGTTTGTGAGCCAAGAGTGACGTCAGGCAAGGTTGTCGGGTGCTGGATGTTGACTGGCCACTGGTTGAGTGCTTCACTAGGTTAGTTCAATTCAAAACCATCAGTACAAAAGAGGGATCTAATCTTTTTTCAAAGGCTGGGAAGGCAAATCTTGTAGGGTGCTGGAGTGGAACGCCTATGTGTAGACTAGACTGCCAGTTTGAAACACTTCTGTATCTGCAGAGACGCAAGAAGAGAGGTTCTGGGATGTACATGCTCCTCTGCAGCGCCTCAGCAAGCACATGCCCCTCTGCAGCGCCTCAGCAGGAGCATGAGCCCAGCCCCTCACTGTCCCCTTGTCTCGGTTGCAGGTTCTTGGGCAGATGGGCATGTGCCAAAGCAGGGTCGACGAGTGTGGGGTCCTCCATGATCTGTTGAGAGGCCAGACGAGTGGAAGGAGACGCAATCGACTCAAAACCGGCACGTGCCGAAGCAAGGTCAACAAGTGTGGGGTTCTGCATGATCTGTTGAGAGGCCAACCAACGAATGATCTGTTGGAAGGAAACGCAATGCAATGCAAGCAAGAGGGAGCAGGATGGTGAGAAGGGATGGGAGAGAGCAGAGTAACGGAGAGGGAGAGGGGTGTGGATCGCCAACCTTAAGAGGTATGGGAGGTGGAGGCAGCGTGCACTTCAACCTTGAGCACTGGCCGTAGGGAGAAGCCGAGTTACTCAACTCTGAAGGCGCTCCTTTGGAAGGATGGAAGGATGGGGGCACGGGGGGGCGGGGGGACGGATGGAAGGAAGGGAGGAAGGGAGGATGGAATGGGCATGGGCGCACCTTGTGCACGAGCTCGGAGAAGCACTGCTGCACGTTGAGGCGAGTCTTGGCGGAGCACTCCAGGAAGAGGCAGCCCCAGGAGCGCGCCAGGTCGACCCCCTGCTCCTTGCCCACCTGCCGGTCCGATTCCTGTGGGCGTGGCACAGTGTGGCTGTGTTACTGTTTCTATGATCAATAGAACCCTACCAAGGCAGCCCCTGGAGCGCGCCAGGTCGACCCCCTGCTCCTTGCCCACCTGCCGGTCCGACTCCTGTGGGCGTGGCACACCATGGGATGAGACGGCCTGAGTGAGACAAAGATAAGAAAGCTGGGTGGATAGAGAGCACCACACAGGACAGCAAGCATGGTGCAAGAGCAAGGGCAAGAGCAAGAGCAGTCTGACGGATCAGAATGAAGCATTGGAAAACCCTGATAACTTTGTGGAGATCAGCTGGGAAAAAGGTTTGCGCTTTCCCAAGGATCCATCGCACATCAGTTGAATAAGAAAACGGGTCTGTGAACTGCTGAGGTGAGAACCAAACGGAGCGGAGTCTCTGTTCTGAGATGGCCATACTTACCAGCCTATTGTGCTCTAGGCCACCTCAAGAGATCGCATGTTCCAAGCAGTCTCGGGCAGAGAGACGCACTGGTTATTGGCTGCGGTGCCGTGCCGTTAGCTGCAGAGCTGCGTGAGCATGACCTCGCTAAAAAATCACCAGTAGGAGTGACACTCGTTATTGGCCCGCAGGGGACACAGCACATGTACTTGAGCCTCTGTGTGTGTGTGTGTGTGTGTGTGTGTGTGTGTGTGTGTGTGTGTGTGTGTGTGTGTGTGTATGTGCGCATGTGTGGGTGTGTGTGGTTGTGTGTGGAGGTGTGTGGGTGTGCGTGGGGGTGTGTGTGCGTGTGTGTGTGTGCGTGGTACCGCGCCTAGTACATGCTCACCCTATCAGCCTTGTTGCCAACGAGCATGAGCACACAACCCGGCAGGGTGGAGTACTGCTGCACCTCTGCCACCCACACGTCCGACAGACTCGCAAACGTCTCCTTGCGAGTCACATCGTACACTGGAGCAGGGGGAGGGGGCGGGGGGGGAGGGGGGGGTTGGGGTTTGGGCCAGGGGAGGGTGGGTGAGGGAAGAGAGAGGAATAGTGGAAGAAAGTTGAGGCAGGGAGGGAGGGAGGGGGTGATACGATGACGTGCACGATCAGAATTTGCTGACCAACTAGAACAAAGAAGAGTCATCTCTGCTTTCTAGCAGGGCAAGCTGAAGACAATAATACACGGGAAAAAGGAGCGAGTTGCTTTCAGCATCACAGAGTAAAGTGCGATGCGTGTCCTTTAATGAGATGCTTCAGCTGTTCGGAGGTAATACCTAGAATTACTCCCGAGGCCCCCCGGTAGTATGAGCTGGTGAGTGTTCGGAACCGCTCCTGTCCCGCTGATGGTGCGAGGGAGAAGGACGAGAGACAGACAGGGAGAGGGAGAGAGAGAGGGAGACGGAGAGGGAGGGGGAGAGGGAGCGAGAGACGGAGAGGGAGGGGGAGAGGGAGTGGGAGACGGAGAGGGAGGGGGAGAGGGAGTGGGGGACAGAGAGGGAGAGAGGGAGGGGGAGGAAGGATTCTGGAGGAAGCAGCGACGAGGAGGGGGTTAACGAGAATTGAAAGGAGTGGATGAGGGAACATGACAAGAGGGCGGTGGGGAAGGTGTGACTCAGAAGAGAATTGTGGAAGAGGAAAGACGTGCTGAGTCGTAAGAAGCGGTGATGCAAGAGAGGAGAGGAGAGGAGAGGAGAGAGAGGAGAGGAGAGGAGAGGAGAGAGAGGAGAGGAGAGGAGAGGAGAGGAAAGGAGAGGAGAGAAGAGGGGAGGAGAGGTCGCTTGTTGGTGTGGAGTGAGTGGCATGGCAGACGAACCTGTATCCCAGATGGTGAGGTTGACTCTCTTGCCGTTCACTATCACGGATTTTATCTTAAAGTCCACTCCTGTGGGTTGATTGGCCAATGAGGCGACATGATTGGACAATGGACCGACATGATTGGACAATTGGACCGACATGATTGGAGAATGGACCGACATGATTGGCCAATGGACCGACAAGTGGAGGGCAGAAGAAATGGGTGGATGGATGGTAACACAAGGGGGGGAGAGGGAGGGGGAAGGGGGGGAGGAAGGGGGGGGAGGAAGATACAAGCAACTTGAGATTCCAGACAAGCTCCTGAGAGGGATGAGTAAATAGAGAAGGAAGAGTGGAGTGAACAATGGAGGGATGCGTGGTCCAAGTGATAGAAGAACGGGCAGACTGATAGATGCATGCGAGCATGCGCTGGTGCTGGACGGAGGAAATATCTTAAAGTGGTGTTAACAGCAGAGACGGCGGCAGAAAAAAGCAGTTGGCAGCAGTTATATCCGAATTTAGCAGCAGTTACCACAAGGAGCAGAGAGCCATTATTAACTGCAGTGCAGGTACATCTCAAGTGGCTCATAGCACCCACAACAACCAGCAGCAAGAGGGAGAAGGTAAGATCCGCAGCAGTACCCTCCTCGGCTATTTCAGCATGCGCGAGCAGAAACAACAACTTCGTAACAAAAGCGGCATCATTCATCCAGTCACCAACTCCAACGTAACGAATGGGGAGGGACCAGTGATGACCTATAGTTGGCGTCATGTCGTCGTATGTGTCAGAGGTGAATCGCAACAGCAAGCAGCTCTTCCCCACGCCCGAATCGCCCACAAGCAGCAACTTAAAGACATGGTCGGAATGTGCGGAGACCACTGGTCCGCCACTGGCCTCGCTCGGCAACATTTGGAAGCGAACATCGGTGGGCAAAAGGCTTACCCGTTCGGCAACATCTAAAAACAAGGCCAATTTCTAAAGGTGTACAGAGAGAGGCAATAAGTAGTAGAAGGGGAGAAACGCGGCTCGGAATGTCCAGGCTTGTGCAAACAGGGCGCAGAATGGCTGACTTGAATCTTGCAATGTGTCTGAAATTCCACAGAACCAGAATCGACAGCAGAACCAGCACCCCCAAATTCCACAGCACCACATCAAACCGTGCCTCAACGAACCAGTGCTGCTTGGCCTGAACGAGAGACCCCTACACCAAGTGACGCCAGGTGATGTGAAAATTTTGTTATATTGATTTATTTGGAAGCATGGTAGATTCTACAAGATAAAATGTATACAGCGCCATAATTCTCCATATGGATAAGCTCTTTCATTCAGGACGCCTGTGCGTGTGTGTGTGTGTGTGTGTTTTTTTTTTTTTTTTTTTCAGGCCTGACCATGAATTCTGCCCAATCGTCATTTGTAGTATTTGAAGACTTACCAAAAGGCATGATAAAGAGAGTGAGGTAGCCTCATTATGTAGAGAGCCTGTTATGTATTTCTGTATAACGTTATGTATCACTGCTTTGCTAGCTCGAAAGCAGTGCTGCCAGTGTGTTCACCCACCAGCCTCGCGCATAGTAAACACTCCCTGAGTGCATTCAACTCACTGGCAAAATCTGTGCCGTCCGCTACAACACGTTCGTTTGTCGCTCAAAACCCGACCTAACCGTTTTATGTTGTCATTTTACCCCTCCGTTTCGAACAGCATCCCTCCCAGCCACAATCAGAGGTACGTGTGGGACACGCCCTCACTGGGACCATACATTTCTCGGTCGAGACACCCCTGAAATGTCTGGATGGGTTTTCACGGATCCTCGAGGTCGGGCTGACAAGGGAATATGAGCAGCCAGGAGAGGCCCTTCCAACCAATCCCTGCACCTCCCTCCACTTCCTTGAGCTGGTGGTGGGTGGGAGGAATTCTGGGTCTGTAGCTCCAGCTTTCCGTGCACAGCTTTTATCAGCATCCCAGGGCCTTATGCCCGTCTGCTAGTGCTGCTCTTACGCTTTCTCGCGGTGTTTGCGTTGCTGCGGCTTACAGTACCACTGAGTTTCCGAAACTCCACGAATAGCGAGGGTCGCTGATCCAGATCACCAGTACCCTGAGTCCTGTAACGCGTATCAGAAAGCCCCGGCCGTTGCTGTCGCTCTGAGCTCGTCGTCGCAATGGGTGACTATCACCTCGAGCTAACCAGTAAGCACTTAAGGATAATTAAAAAAAAAAAAGGAAATATATTTGAAAACCCAGCCTTGTTCCCATAAATTTGTCTTCTTCCTCGAAAGCACGTAGAGAACAAAACATCTGACGCATCGATTCCTGCTTGTTCACTTTCCTTTGGTCACTCCTCTGCCAGTCATTCGAGCGAGCGGTCTACCAGACGTGCAGAAGTGGAAGCTGGGTACTATTCAGGACCCGTATGCGACAATCAAATACGGAGACTTCGACTTCCGCACGAAGACACACAACAGTGAGTAGTCCGAGGCGGAATACGTTGCACACCGTAGCCGTGCAGCGTATAATATGCGGGCGTGCGTTGTGGAAGGGAAGGGGATAGAAGAAGGTGCTGGAAGGTGAGAATGGCGGTCGTTGACAATGGACGAAACACGGCACCGTCGCAACACACTCTTATTTTGAGTCGACTCAAAATACACTCTCTTATTTTGAGTCGACTTAAAATACACCTAGAAGAAGGTGCTGGAAGGTGAGAATGGCGGTCGTTGACAATGCACGAAACACGGCACCGTCGCAACACACTCTCTTATTTTGAGTCGACTCAAAATACACTCTCTTATTTTGAGTCGACTTAAAATACACCTAGAAGAAGGTGCTGGAAGGTGAGAATGGCGGTCGTTGACAATGCACGAAACACGGCACCGCCGCAACACACTCTATTATTTTCTGGCCAAGTGATACCATCGCTCCCCTTCTGCCAACACCTGAACCAAAGCCAAGCGTTCCATTTTCGCACCATCCCTCCTGCATCTCCACGTGTTTCTCAGCACCGTTCCGCACTTGCCCGCATATTTCAGTGTTCCCCTGCTCCGATTCTCCCCCACTCTCCCCCCCCCCCTCGTTCCTTCCGCGGGCGCAGACGGCGGCACAGCCCCCGCGTGGAGCGAGACCTTCTCCTTCCCCGTCGGCGCAAATCCCGTGATCTCGCTAGCCGTTGTGCACGACAGGGTGCTCGTCAATGACGAGATCATCGGCACTGGCAGGTCAGTGCGCGAGCATAAGCAGAATGCTGCGGTATTCATGCTGCTCCTTTTGGCAACGCTGCAGACGGCTTGGGATGGTAGCAGAGAGAGCTTTTCGGAGAGGTGGAATGCATGGGGTAGGGTTTGAAAGAATCGGAGTGATGCCCCCTCTAAGCGGTGGGCATTGTCTCTGTTTTGGCAAAACAAACTGGCACAATTAGAAAGGGCGGCCACATGGCTCGTGTCGCATGTCACGTGGCACATGTGACTGTCGTTGTCGTGTCACTCTCGGTTGACTGGTCATGTAGCTCTCGTAATAAGATTTGGTTCAAAGTTCTGTCTCTATGAGATGTACATTCGTGCAATTACATCTCCTCCTGCCCACATTCCGATCACTTGACATGGCACTAGCACACACAGAAAGGGCGACCACCATCGTTACCACATGCCACATGGCACGTGACAGATGACACATGGCACATGACATCTCACTGTCGTCGCCATAGTTACTCCACTCGGTTGGCTGGTCATGAAGCTCTCTTTCATTCATACATTTGTCCAAATTGCTTTCTTTCTTTATGAGCACAACGCAATCATGCAATCTGCTTCTCTTCTCCTGCCAACAATGCGCTTGTCTTGTCTTGATTGACTCTTGACACCCTTTTTTCTTGACTCCGGTTTGTTGACTTGTTGTGGACCAGTCTGGACTTCTCCAAGGCGCAGGAGGCGGGTGAGCTGGTGGAGTCTGTTCCACTTTTCACCACAGACGGCAAGTAGGTCCACGGAAGACCCTCCCCGTTGTTTGCAGTGCATGAAGCAACAGTTTGCCCCCTCCTCCGGCCCCCCTTCTCTCCCCCTTTTGCGGCTTCCTTGCGGAAACAGCCTGCTGCACTTCTGTGTTTCTGCGCAGTTCTGTGTACTGTGATTGCGTTTGTACTTCTGTAGTTGTTTTCTCTTTCACCGCATGTCAAATATAAGCAGTTTCTTTTTACTCCTGTTGAGAGTTTCCTGTTATTTGCTGCTGTTTGTTTGCTCAAACGTATGTGGCATGGCAGGCAGCAAGGCGTTCTTGAGTGCAAGCTGAAGTTTCCGACCATTGTAAGCCATTCACTTTGCTCTTTAAAATGTTCCGTCTTCACCTCTCGCACCTGAGGAATTTCACATGTTCCCAACCTATTGATCCTGATGATGTCACGCTGTCGCTCTTCACACTCCGAGGACTAGGAAACATGCCACACATTTCAGGATAAAATTGGCGTCACAGCTGGTAAGAGATTGCCTCTGACAGCATCCCTTCACACCACAGCACCTGCTTCAGTTCTGCACGCAATCTGAAGCCCATGCACAATCACCTTCACCGCTCACTCTTCATAATTTAACTTCAACACTGCAAGCTGTAGTTTCACTAATTGCCAACCCCCGCATCACTCCCGCCCCCACCAGTCCGCCCGGCTGCAAATGACCCGGCAGATGTCAACCAGCGTGATAGATGACCCTGCCAAGAGCGTGTACGATCAGAAGCTGGCAGCTGCTCTCCGGATGCGCCAGAAAAAGGCGGCTCAAATCCTTGAAACTCACGAGACCATCATCGAGGGGTCCATTGCCAGCCTGCCCAACTCGGAGCCGTTTGAAGAGCATGAGAGGGCTCTGGAGAAGACAACGACGGCCTACCTTGCGAGCACGGAGAGCCCCATTCAGCAATTGGAAGAGGACCTGGAGTTCCACGACAAGGAATTCCTGCAGCAGCTTATGAAGGAGATTGACAGTAGTGAGGATTTCAAGCTGGAGATTGAGAGGTATGCGACGGAGGTTGGGGAGCAGGACCAGAAGAGGAGGAGCAATATCTCAGCGGCGCACGAGAAGTTTACTAAAGCGGTAAAGAAGGTTCAGGAGGAGCTGCTGCAGGATCTGCAGGCGGCTCAACAAGAGTTTGAGCTGGGCGTTGAAGTAGCAGCTGGGGAGTACAAGAAGGAGGCAAAGACACTGATCTTCTGGCAAGAGGAGGCCAAGGCAAAGAAAGACGTAGCTGCTTATGAGGTTCTACTATCTAGTTCCAGCGTTAGAATGCAATGAAAGGAAATATGGTGAAAGGATATCCAACATGAAAGGATGTTTTGTACTAGTGCTAGTATTGCATGCCACTTGACGTTAGGTAGACAGGCATGCCCTTTATTTATGGTCTAAAACGTTTGACTCCTGCATGTCACATTCGTGTATGGGGATGTTAACTAGAATGATTGAGTAGAAACATTGTAATTTTTTAACACACACATTGTTTTTCAAAAATTGTGTATTGTGAAAGCGAAGCTGATTGTACTGAAGCTTTGGGCATCGTCGAAGCGCGCTACTCGCCCTTCTCCAACTACAAATACGTGGGTTGGAGCTCATTTATCTCCACCCACCAGGGTCCTCGATTGCCCCCAGCCACTTTCTAAGCGATCAGACGGGCCCTACGGAACCGTCTGATCATCAGACGGCTTCTCCAAAGATTTCTGATTTGTCAGACGAACATGCCATAAATTTCTAAATATACAGAATGTTTAGTAGCATATTTCTTCGCTTACTGATGCACACCATGTTGCACCTCCTAGCTTAACTAGTCAGACAAGTCCTCTACAACCATGGTCATGCGCACATCCACATCTTCATCATCAGCACTAGTCTTCTTCCTCTTCTTCTTGTCGTGCTTTCTCTTCTTGCGGGGGGGGTTGGGCATGACGACATGCTTCGCCTGGCGTCGCGGAACTGGTGCTCGGAACTTCTCCATCACTTCTTCCCACTTCATAGGGTACTCCAGCAGAGAGACACACATGAGATCTGCAAGGCGGGTGTCGCAGAGGTTAACCCGCAGCCAGGACTTGATCGTGTTCTGGCGGCTGAAGCCACGCTCACACTCCACGGTGCTGAGCGGCAAGACAGCAACAGCTACCCACAGGCGCACGAGGTTGGGGTACGCCGTGCGCCAGTCCTCCGACCTAAGAATGTTCTTGAGGCAGTTGTGGAATGAGTGGTCTTTGTAGTGCTTGTTCATCATCCTAGTGAACCGCGGAAGCTCTCTTTCAGCCTTCAGCCAGTCGACTCCTGTGGGGCGAGATTGGTAGGGAAGCATTATAACATAACTTAGATCCTCCTACTGCGACATTCACATTCAATATATGCCGCAATACTGTTACATTCACAATCAATGTACATAAACCAAAAAGAGACACACCGGGCATGGCGCACTTCTCGGCGTTGTAGAGGACTTTAAGCGAACCGAACCACTCTGCGCACAGCCGCTCGCGTTTTGCGGGTGCGTCGGGGTATGCGTCGGGGAGGAACAGCTTCGACCCACGGAGATTGTTGAGACTCGCCATACGCGTCTCCAGATTCCGAACGACCGCCTGCACAAAGAGGGAGGCAAGGGAGATACAAGACTCCATATCTCCTTTGCTCCTCTGGTCGCTCAAGTCCTTCTCATGAAGCTTGAAGGTGTGGGTCTTGGGGTTGCCAGAGCCGTCGATGCCCTCCACCATGACCCTCCGCTTGTTGGAAGGTCCATGCTCCTCCAAGAACTTAGACAGCAGGTCGGAGCCTTCGCCGAAGTTGACGCCATGCTCGATGTAGCGTGAGCGGAGCACATTGCAGGTGTTCTCAATCAGCTGGGCGACTCTGGTGATGTCCACCTGCGATGTAGCCACTACAATGAAATTAGCGCTGTTATGCGTTCAGGCAGGAGGAGGAAACTATTTATATTGATGAACAGGCATGCACGCTTACAGCTCGACGCTGAAACTTTCTGTTGAGGGCATTAAGCTCTGCAAGGACGTCAGCTAGGAAAAAGAGAAGGAAGTGGAACTTGAAGCTGATGACGACATGGTACATGTCATCATCAAATTCATACAGCAGCAAGACTGCAGCGGGGAGAACTTCAACGAGCCGCGAGATGGCTTCCCCGCGGGAGAGCCATCGGATATCCTTTATACCCTGCATTTCCAGGGTCGTATCGTTGATGAACTTCTGGAGCTCGCTGAAACGCTTGTGTACGACGATGCTCCGCCCAAGGATGTCAGCCAGACTCCTGACCACCTTGTCCACGATGTCAAGGTCAACGTACTCGGTGGCTGCATCCTTCGCAGCCAACGCCTCTCTGCAAGCTACAAACGAAAACATTAGTTCTTCAATGTTTGGTTACATGCACTTGGCTCATATTTACACGAACATCGCAACACCAAGTACAAGTTCATTACACGGCACCAACCAAAACTGACCTGTGCGCGATGCAGTGGCATGCGACGAGGTGCGGAACTTTGGCTCGGAGCTGCGCCACGAGGCCCCGGTTCACGCCGGTCATGACGCTGGCGCCGTCAGTGCTGATGCCGCTGATCTTGTTCAGATCCAGCCCGGTAGATTCCAGGTGTGTCAGTAGTGTTGATAGAAGAGAGCTGGCATCACACTTCTCAACTGTGAGGTGAGCGTAGAACTCAGTCACGACCTTGGCGTTCTTCAAGAATGTCAGATAGACAATCATGTGTTTCCCACGCCGCCTGTCGGTGCTCTCATCCAGCTGAATGCCCACGAATGGAGATGCGTCAATGTGTTTCTTCTGCTGGGCGCGGAGGTAGACGACTAGTGCTTCAGTGATCTGCTTGAAGCCGTACCTGCAGAAGCAAAATAACAGAGAGAGACTTAGTCAGAACGGTAGTCCTTGAGTATCTACTGCGAAGAAACGACAGACAGACTTACTCAGAATGGTACGTGCCGAAGGCTTTCTCAGGGATGTGTGGAGTCCGTAAGTCGACGAGAAGACGAAGAAGAGAAACAAACATGCCAATGGGGGCGTCAGACTTGCAAATCCACAAAACGATGAGCAACAACTGCCTGAGGCGGTTGTCGAGGGACTCAAGGGACTCCTCGAACTCTGTGATGCTCGGCTGCGACGTGACCTTGCCATCCAGCTGCTGCTGTCTCTCCTCTGCGGCCTCGTGCTTCTTGCTTTGAGAATGCTTCACCATTGTTTGCTTCTGGATATCCACTCCGCCGTTGCCGAGTTTTCCGTACTGCCAGGTGGGAGGTGCGTGAGCCATGCAAAGTCGACATTTCATGCACGGATGTCCGTCGGGGCGCTGATCGATGATGAGCCATGGGAACTTTCGGACCCACTGCTCCTCAGCCTTGCTTTTTAGCTCAGCTAGAAGCGCGTCAGGGTCAGGGATGAGACGGCAGCAAAGACGGGACTTCGGATTCGGGACCGGCCGGTCAGCAGAAGAACCAGCTTCGGGATGTTCTGCCGACGAAGGTGGTTCGTCAGTGGAGGCGCGAGCCTCGATACGGATGTGAGGAACACGGGTGCGTGCAAAGCGTATCGTGCTTTGTGTGAACTGTCGAATGGACCGTGGCTTCGGCAGCTGTTGTACAGCGTCGACGGACAGCAGAGGGGACCGCCTAGCTGATACAGCGGTAGGAGAGCGAGGAGACGTTGGGGGAGTGGATGCGAGTAACGGGTCGCTGTTAACTTCAGGGAGTATCTCGCTAAATGGCGGCGCTACTGCGGGTGATGGGACTGCAGGCACGTGATTTGCCTCTGGATTTGGGCAGGTCTGGTGAGCTAGACGCAGGAAATCAAGCCCACTTACGGGGGGCATACCAGCCGCGGGAGGAACTACAGATGCGGCGCCGCCATCTCTAACGGCGCCAGCACCCATGTCGAAGTGGTGTGAGACGGGCTATGGAGCAGGTAGAAAACGGACAAGTAATCACCGTGTGTCGTCAACATAGTGAGGGGAAGGAGTGAGCGTCGCAACGAGGACAGGAGAAGAACCTGGGCGTGGTCCTTCATTCACAGATCCTCAGGGCGCGCATGCGTCTCCAGCGGCACGGGGAGCATCCATCCATCGTCCAAAGCTGGCGAAGGTTCTCGTCTCCTGCACGAAGCGGGCACTTGGCGACAAGCCAATAGGCGAGGGGTACTATGCTGTTGATAAGACAAGCCAATCAGATGTGGAGCTGCAGCTGCAGCATGCATTGCAACACACGACCCAGCGCGCGCACGCCCCTTAGCTGGCAACGGCGATGGTATCCTTGTGCGCTGTCACAAGACAAGCCAATGAGATTCACATGCATGTGCCATCACATGCTGCCGCAGCTGATTGTGGGCAGCATTTGAGTCACACCCTGCCTTGCTAATGCCTCGCTGCGAGTGACGCGTCATGTAAAGCTGCCAGAATAGTACGTTCACGTTTTGGGTGGGCGGCCACAACGCGGGCCGCGTGGTATACGCGGTCTGTATAAGGGGGCTGTATACAGCCCTATAGATATTGGTTTCAGACGGATGGATTCGCTAAGTCTAAAAACTCAGAAGAACGAATACACCCATTCTGTTTTTCCAGACGAATACAAAATCACTTTCTAGGACATCAGAAAGTCTGAAAACAGGTTTCTAAAAAATCAGATGAAGGCCAAAAAAAGGTTCTGAAAATCAGACAAACAGACAGATTTTGTCTGCAATCGAGGACCCTGCCACCCACATCTCTCATTTTTCAAACGGCTCAGTCAACTTTCCCGCTCTAGCTTTTTCTCCCGTTCAAGCTGGCTAAGACTAGAACTTTGCCTCGCGGCGAGTCTCCCTCAACTCTTCTTTCCGATATTTTTAAGTTTCACCAATCCGTCATGGCTCCGACTACGAATAATCGCGGCGAGTCCAACGTCGTAACCGGCCACCCCAATTCCGAGTCTACTCGCCAAGCCCTGGAAATTGCGGGCGGCCAGCGGAACAAGCGTCGGGCAGAAGAAGGGGCGGCTGCCCCAACTGGGGTGGACGTTCTGCTGGGAGGGGGCGAGGTCAACAATCAGCCTGCTGACGCGCCCCCGCCCCCTTCCGAGCCACGCGCGCAAGTGGCTGAGCAGGGCCAGCCACTCGCGCCTGACGCCGAGCCGCAGCACGCGCCAGCGCCGCAAGTGGCGGGTCCTTCTCGCCAGCGCAAGAGGGGGCGCGCGGCTGCTTCATCTGACGTGCCGCCCACCCCGACCTTGACCCCCTCGTTGACCCCTGCGTAGATCAACGCGCTGTTGACGCTGTTACAGCAGCACGCGACGAGCGTTACGGCCGCCGAAACTGCTCAACATGCTGCTTCTGAATCTGCTAAAAAAGAACCTGCAAAAAAAGAAAAGGCCCTACGCGGAACCAAGACGTCACGCCTCGCCAAAGACGTCGTCGCCAGCATCCCGCCTGCCCCGGCGGCCGACAACGACAGCGACGACTCCGACAATA